TGCCTGGGGCACACGGTTTGTGCACTTGGGCTAACTTGGTTTTGACCTGCACAGCAGCATTTTAAAAGGAGTCCATCTTAATCCAGGGCATTTGCTGTCTCATCATGATAACATCTCTTAGGGTCTTTCCTGGTTTTAACAATAAGAACTAGGGAAGCTTTCCAGTGCTCCAGCTGACTGTAAGAATTTATCTAGATTTCTTTGCATCAGTTTCTCATTCTTTAGTGCAGTACCTTTGTTAGCATTTTAAACCTAATCCAGGTCAGTAAGAGCCCAAATACTAGCCAGTGCTTCACATCTATAGTTTCTCAGAGCATTTTTCTGTTTCAGGGAAATCTCACAGAGAGGAGCAAAGTTCTTTTTTTGCAGCCAGCTTCCACTGTAACAAACTGAGACCTTGTCATCTTGGAATGGATCTAAATTTAGTATGAAAGTCTACAGCAGGGGATGAGCCCTAAGAGGGCCCAGCTGTTGCCATTCTTCCTTAATTAGTATTATGCACCCTGCCCCCTCATCTTCCCAGGGAACTGAACCAAAGTTCAAATGATTCACCTGGTCTCTGCCTTCTCTGAAGGTCCCTCTTTTCATGCTCAGTGTAGGTGTAATGTCTCTGCAACTTTTACATGAAAGGGAGTGGAATTTTCTGCCCACCCAGGACCTGAATTAGATTGGGGAGGAAATCCACCCCACCCACAGAGGAGAGTTAGCAACAATTACAGCACCAGTCCAGCAGCTCTATCTGAACCTACTTCCTGTCACTCAGCTTACAACTCCCTCCCCAAATCCTCCTCATTAATAGGCAATAAAGTGGAGCACTATTTATTGCCTGGTTGGCCATACAGTTTTGTCAACATGGTTGGTACTGATTCTCATAGACTTCTCTCAAATCCTGTTAATGAGCACATAAGGCCCTCATACTTCCTCTTTGAGAAAGCCATTCCACTCTTGTTGCCAAAACTGTCAAAGACGGTAGAGTCTGAGATTTTACTCTGCTTACAAGATAACATGTTAGCCTGCCACAGTTTCATTGATGCTGTCAAAAAGGACTTTATGGGGGCTGGCCCCATGATGTAGTGGTTGAGTTTGGCATGCTCTGCTTTGGCATCCTGGGTTCATGGGTTTGGATCCCGGGCAAGGACCTGCACCGTTCATCAGCCATGCTGTGGCGGCAACTCACAGACAAAGTAGAGGAAGATTGGCACAGGTGTTAGCTCAGGGCAAATCTTCCTCAACAATAGCAACAAAAAAGGACTTTATGACTCAAAACAATAGCAGAAGCCAGGTTGTCAACATTGGCTCTGGTTCCCCGAGTTCCACTTCCCATAGGCTATGCCAAGTGGGTCCGGTGACCTCTGCACAGTCAGTGGCTGCATTACAGCAGAGGAACTGTGAGATTAGGGAACCTAAATCTGTTATAATGGATGATATGCTGGATCTTTGCTCCACCTGTATGCACTATATCTTCTAAGCTGCATTGCTATACAAGTATCCTGGAAAAGAAAGTCCAAAACAAAGGCAATCTGATCATCTGCTTGAAAGACATGTAGAAGCATGAGACCATAGAGATTCATCTTCCAAAAGAACCAACAGAACTTGCTATTGGATTGGTTGTGTGGATATAGGGGAAGTGGCAAAATCAAGGATGTCTCCCAGGTTTTTGGCTTGCACATTTAGGTGGCATTAAGCCATGGAACTTGATGAGATGGTGAAGGGAAGAGAATCCAAAATTGAGGTCTGGGACACTCCAGTACTTAAAGTTCAGGTAGAAGAGAAAAAATCAACAGAGATAACTAAGACAAGGATCTGTCAGTGAGGAAAGGATATGTCCAGGAAGCCAAAAAAGAAGGAAGTAATTCACCATGTCAAATGTCACTCGGAGTTTGACGAAGAAGAAAACAGAGCAGTATGGACTGGCAGTATACAAAGAGTTAGAACAAAGAGTTAGAGATAAATACAGACTTTTAAGACTGAGACTTATTGAAGGAACTGGCCAACTGAAATTATGAGGCTGATACTTGAGCTTTGTCAAAAAATTAAATGGTGCTAAATTTAAAACAGATATATTGAATAATATGCTGCATAAACTATGACTGAAATGCAACTTTAGTTCTGCCTCCCATTGTCCCTTTAGCATTTAGTGAGAGTGATCATCCCACACCCCTGGATGAAAATTCCAGAGGATACATTCAAACACTGAGCATTCCCCATATGTGAGGCACCATTCTGGTGCTGGTGCTGGGATAGAGCAACGAATGAAAACACTCAAGACTTTGGTGTGCTGAATTTGTGAATGAATTCACATGAATTTGTGTGCTGTTAGGTAACATACAGTCCTACAATCATTTTCAATGGAAAATAGTCTCTATTAGGAAATTAAAATGCCTAGGCCTACATAATTACCAAAACTATATCTTAACATTAAATCTCATTTTCACCTGAGGTCTGGCCTGTCTTGGGCTGAGAGCCTGCATTGGTTGACTTCTTTCTCCTTGCCCTCACTCCCCAATCTACCCATTGCTATTTCCCTCTCAGCTCTGATTAAAGAGTAATAAGGAAGAAGTAGGACAGTTCTTATGTGACTGGAGGACTTTATGATTTCTAAGTCCACAGTGGTTAAAGATACATCCTTGGGAAACCTGGAAGATGATTAAAGGGTATTTTCATGCAATCTTCAGAAATTTCCCAGTGGCTCTTTTCTCCTGCAGATCCTTGAGCGAGTCTGCTGGCAGTTCTCTTTTCTAAGTTGTTTCTTATGGCTCCGCACTCAGTCCAAGGACATCCAGCCATATATCTCCCCAGCCTCTTTCTGTGGAAGACTCTAGGCTCCTCCATCTGGGCCCAAGACTACCCATGATGGCTCTTGATAGTGTGGCCCATTTTGTCCACGCATACCATTCACATATCCTCTGCTTTGATAAAATTTTAAAGAACTATCTCAATACAGTGACAAGTCTCTGTGCTCTCCTATGAAAGCTCTGCTTTTCTTACCTTCTAGATTCCCAAGATAGGAATCAGGCTCCAAGCCAGGGCATCCTCCTCCTGCAGAAAAACCTCAAACCTTCCAGACATGCCACACTGAAGCACTCTTCTGTAGGCTTTAAGTGAGGAGACAGGCACAACCCTCCCTAAGGGTTACTCTCCCTAAGGAGAGTATAATCATAGCACAGCTTTTTCCAAGATATCCTCCTTGTAAAAGCCTCTCCTCTCCTTATAATGTCTTAAAGTGTGTGAGGAGTTTCAAAGTAATAGAAATGTTTTTAGAAAAAGTTTCCTTGAAAGTTCACACATTTGAACTTGTCTTGCCCTCACTATACTATCTGACGTCTCTCATACTGGATCCACAGTCAGCACTGAGGCATGAAGAGTACAGTTCTAATATCACATTATACATCTATGTACAAAAAACAAATCATAGTAGTAATTGGACTTGCTATAAATAACAGTTATTATTTAGCAAGACTTTTACATCATGGAATTAGACAGTACACTCTTTTCTGAGAAGTTGACAAAAGGAAGAGGAGCTTGCGATTTGGGGCCAAGTTGGAGGGCACTGGAGTGTTAAGGGAGACAAGAGCTTTAAAATAGTGAGGATGGATTGTGCTTTCAGCATTTAAAGTAAAACTAGAGTCTGTGGAATTATGCTACAAGTGTAACCTATTTTTTTTTTATCAAAAACAGATGGAAACCTTCTAAAGTTACATGGCTTCTCCTGTTAATTGTTCAGTCTTCAGCTTTCCTTGATTAAAGAAGGTCAGACACTTTAGGGCATGAGAAATTATGCTATCTGGTAATAGCACTGCCTGAGGAAAAAGGAAAAAGAAATCTAAAATTACTCTAGGATTTACCATAGCTACTCTGAGTAGAAACTGATAGGAGAAATAATTACTTTCCATTTTTCAGTACTGAAAGTGATAAAATATGTAGAATCTAATTTGGGATTTTCCAGAAAACCTAAGGGAGCTGAAGCCAGGACAAATTATCGATCAGAGAAGATGGAGAGAGAGCAAGAGAATGAAAAGAAGAGATAATAAAACTTAGTTCTGAGGTGTACTCTCAGGGGAATCAAAGAGAGAGAAAGTGAAAATTCTCTGTCAAGGATGAGTGTATAGGGGCCAACCTGGTGGCACAGTGGTTAAGTTCACATGTTCCACTTCAGCAGCCTGGGGTTCACCACTTTGGATCCCGAGTGCGGCCATGGCACTCCTTGGCACGCCATGCTGTGGTAGGCATCCCACATATAAAGTAGAGGAAGATGGGTATGGATGTCAGCTCAGGGCCAGTCTTGCTCAGCGAAAAAAGAGGAGGATTGGCAGCAGTTAGCTCAGGGCTAATCTTCCTCAAAAAAAAAAAGAAGAAGAAGAAAAAGGATGAGTGTATAGAAGCCTTGAGAACAAAAAGATTGAACAGTAAGTACTTAACATATCAAAATTCCAGAGAGATGCCAATGAAATAATTAAAAGAGTAGGCACCCCCAAAGAAAATTGATAATGTTCCCCAATATTGAGTAGGGAAACCAACAGCTGATAACAGAGCTCCCAGCAAGGAAGAAGGTTGGAAAAATGTAAAAGGGCCAAATTTGTTTATAATATAGTGAATCTTAAATAAGCCAAGTTGACTGACTGAAACCTAATACCAGCAATCTGGTCACTTCATCATTGAATATTGATATTTCACTATTTAAGATTTTGACTTAAGTGGTTCTGCAGAAATATATTTATACATATACAAAGGAAAAAAAAAAAGAAAATCCATGTGAAATCTTGACAAGCATTCAGGAGCACCCAACACAAATAGTGTTTGCTTACAAATCCTAAGCAATGTTTCCATGAACATCCCAAACTTGGAAGACCTGATTAATTACTGTATTGGCTTGACTACATAAGATCAGAACTGTGGATGATTCTGGGTTTTTGAATTTAGTCTTTTTTCATTGCTTTCTTTAATTGGCCACCTGACTGAATTTACAACCAGACACTTAACTAGGCAACCTTTTCTTGTAGGTGCAGACAACAACCATGTGCATCTCTGTTAGCCTGAGTGGCTTCGTGGTCCTGGGCTGTTTGTTTGCACCCAAGGTGCACATCATCCTGTTCCAACCCCAGAAGAACGTGGTCACACACAGACTGCACCTCAACAGGTTCAGTGTCAGTGGAACTGGGACCACATATTCTCAGTGTAAGTATGGAACTTGGCACTGACCCCTTCAGGCTGGGAGGAGAAGCAATGAACAGACAACACGTGTCCGTCCCCATGGATAATTTTAATTCAATTTTAATAAGTACTGGTTCAGCCACTGGGTGCCAGGTCCTATGCTAGGTATTAGGGATACAGTGGTGAGCAGAAGAGTCCAAGCTCCATCTTGGCAGCACATACAGTCTAGCAGGGGAGACAGACATGAAATCAGTAACTGCGATTAGGATTTCTGACCCTGTCGTGGACTCAGAGAACTTAGTTTGTAATGTTTTGAGAATTTCTATAGCAAGGAAACCTGTTTAATTTTGTTATTTACAGAGTTCCTTAAAAGTATTTTACCACAGCTAAACCAACTAATATCCTATAGAACACACCTTGGAAATGCTGGAATAGGTCCTACTTCAATGACGCAATGTTTTTTCAGCTGAGAAGGCAGTGTGAACTGAAGGATACCAGGATAACTCCTCCATCCAAAATTCTCTCTCCTCCTGGCCTGCAATCATCTGAAATGCTAGCCTTAGAGAATCATTCACTTAATTCTTTAGAGTCCACTAAAGCACAAATGTACCTAAGGGGACAATCTTTTAAACCATTTTCAGCTAATCTGTGGTATGGAGTAGGAGAAATTCACTGACAGAAGGATGAGGAGGAAAGCAGGAGTGGAGCCACAAGAGGGGGAAGGAGGACTGGAGTGACAGAGACAAATGACTGCTTCACAATTTTGCCTCGAGTTGATTAGAAAGGAAACTTCAAAATAGCTCAGCATCACAGAGTGAGCAATCGCATTAGTGCCCCAGTTTCTCCAGCAGAGCATACAGTTTAACAGGGCAGCCGTTCCCCCAGCAAACAAAGGGAAGCCTGACGGCTGATAGCACACGTTCAATGAAGTACTGTGTGTATCACTCCTCGGTCATGAGCTGCTATAGGGGTGGGGACGTTACTGTCTTTTCAGCTACATTTCCAGGTGTCACAATGGTTGAGTTTCAGGACATGGTAAAACTTGTGAAATAATTTTCCTTGGATCCTAGAGAAATCTGCTTATTTCTTGAGTAAACAAATCTCTGTTCTAGCTGCCCAACTGTAACAGCTAGCTAGTCCAGACAAGAAAGAACTGGCAATGACTAACAAAACAACAATGATAATAACGACAGCTAACAGGAACAGCATTTATTGAGTGTTTTCTATGTGCTAGGCATTGTGCTAAATATTTCATACGTGTGTGTGTGTGTGTGCGCACTACATCTTATTTGATGCTCACAATGCCTTGAGATTAAGAAACCTACCCAGGATCACACATACTGAAAGTGGCAGAATCAGAATTTAGACTCAGTTTCTCTGATTTCACAGCCAGTGCACCAAACTACTGTATGGTGCTAGTCACCCAGAATGCAAGCTGGGAAAGTTCCCATGAAGCTAGGTACTAGGTAGGCTTTACAGGGAGAACAAAAGGAAGCTTACCCTGGGCTGTGCAGCAAGATTTACCTCTGGACAGAAATAGTCTTGTTGATAGCTCAGAGCTCTTGGTTGTTATTGGAACAATTTAGCAAAGTTCATAAGTCTTCCACAGACATTGTTCAAGATCTCATACATTCAAACCTCAGTAATTTAGAAATGGCGGCATTTTCTAATACATATACTAGGAATTAATAAATTCCTGGAGGATAACAAGGGCATTTTACCCAATCAAGTCTCTCTTAAGAATTTCAGAAATATCCATTTACACAAAAACAATGTACTTTGACCACAATGGACCTGCTTAAGCTTTCGCTCAGTATGCTAATCTACTAGTGGCCCGATTAATACTCCAAGGTAGGCATCTACCCAGCCCAACATTTTAGGACTATTTTGTTACTCAATGAAATTTTAAATAAATGTTTTTCTTTAAAAAGTTCTAAATTTAGACCTCACTTTTTTCAGCAGCTTTCCTCTAGTTAATCCAAATTAATGAAGTGGTGTTAAATTAGTAAAGTATTTATGTGATATTTCTTGGAATTTCAAAGTGCATAAGTAACAAATACATTGATCTTTTAATTATAATTCTATGTTTTTTATTCAAAATAGTTTTATATTTTTGGGTTCATGTTATCACATGAGTATTAGATATTACAAGTTCCCTTTTACAGGTGAGAAAATAAAGGATAGGAGTTAGTTCACAAAGATATACAATGATAATGATTCAAGAGTTGACACTGAGTTTCCTGACTTGTGATTAATATCCCTCCCATTTTAACAAATTGGAAATATTGTCATGAATTCATTCATCCACAAAATGCTTGAGTACCTTCTATACAATAGAAATTTCCAAGCACCTGTGTACAGTGGTGAATAGGACAGAACCCCTAGTTCTAGGGCAGTGTTTTTCATACTGTGGAGTGTAACCTATTAATGGGTCATGAAATTTATTTTGGATGTTTGGCCAGCAATTTAAAAAAGAAAATAGAATAAAATATTTTAGAGTGCATTCTATGTAATAAAGGTAAGTAGTATTTCATGAAGTTTGCTCCAGAGTTTACACATATATACCAGGTCCAGGTAAAATGTTTATTACTGTGAATTGCAATCAAAGAAGTTTGAAAACCACTGGTCCATGGGATCTAGTCCTCTGTATGAGCATGTTACTGACCCACTATGGTGAAAATTTAAGCAACCGGTTTTATATCTCACTGCCTGTTTCCGCCATTATATATTCAGCTTAGTTTATATCCATTTCCCTCCTAAATACTGGGAAGTATGTTGTTTTGCAAATCAAGAAAAATCCTTAAACTGCTTTGAGTTCATTAGGTAAGGCATATAGTTCACTTAGGTAGCACATAATTTATGTTCTTCTGTTAAGTATTATGAAGGAATTTTTTGTATTGGGTTATTGTTACTTATATTGCTGCTGGTTTTCTGACTTGCTCCATCCAGAGGTAAAACCAAAAACCTCATGTATGGATCAGCGTAAGCTAGTATAGCAAGAGGGTTACCCACACACGTACTCACACACACATTTAGTTATCTATTCCCGCATAACAAACTTCTCCAAAATTTAATGGCTTCAAAACAACAACCCTTTTTTTTTTTTATCTTTCATGACTGTGTGTGTCAGGAATTCAGGCAGGCCTTGGCTGAGCAGTTAATCTGCTCTATGAAGCCTTGTCTGGTGCCCTTCTGTGGTAACAGCTGATACTGAGCTGATCTGGAGGGTCCACAATGGTTTCACTCTTACACTTAGCACCTTGATGAGAGGTCTCACCATATGGGATCCTAGAGAGCATGACACAGCCTGCCCAGATTCAAGGGGAGGGACATAACCCCACCTCTCAAAGAATTTGTGGCCATTTTTATTATGCCACACTCTCCAAATCCTAAATTAATCCGTACTAGACTCTTATTAGGGATTACAGCAACTTGATACACTTAATCCTATGCAATGCCAAGAAGTCACCTAGACTGGAAGCTGCAGTCAAATTAATTTCCAGTTAATTCTCTGGCAAGAGAGTAGCAGAAATACTACATCGCTTTGGAGCCTAGGTGAACTGAACTCCCTGACAGCAGCTAAAGTGGTTGATAGCAGAAAGAATATCAGTGTTGGATTTTAAAAGCCAAGCAGTTGTTCCAAAAAGATGGAAAAGCATGACCAAACTCAGAAGCAGGCATAGACAAAAGAACATGGTGAAGGACATCTTGGAAAACTTACCATTTGAGAAACGTTTACATACTGCTAGGTGCAAAAGAGAATAACGTTAGTTGTACCTGATGAACTATACACAGTGGGAGTCAGAATAATAAAAATAAAAGAAACATTACCTTTTCTCCATTAAGTATATCCATAGGCCAATGGCTCCCAGTGTACAAAAGAATAACCTCTTTGAAATGGAGATTAGCAAGCCCCACACACAGATACTGTGATTCATGTGGTCTAGGGCAAAAGAAATCTAGTTTGTAACAGATCCGCCAGCTTGTTCAATGGAAATGATCCAAGGGAAACATTTTGAGAACCTTGGCCTAAACCATCCTTGTCTACTTCATCCAAATAGTTATCAGTGCAAAGCAGGGAGGTCCTCTTAGATGACCCTCAAAGAGGAAGCAAGCACTGGGTTCAGAGAGGGAGAGGTGTTCTGAACGCCCATCCTTTGCCTCATGATGCCAACAGCCACATCCCCATGCAATTATTTCCCCAGCTCCCTCTGGAATCCTCCGGAGAAGGCATTTATGGCAAAAAAGCCCCTGGCCACTCAAAACATTTACTGAAACTGGGAGTGTTCCTTCCAATAGCAGTATAATTCAGAGACCCCCAAATCCTAAATTCATACTTGTAATGCGGCTCCCACACCCACACACATAAGCAAACATTCTTTGTATTTGGATGAGAAAGAAAAGAGGTCATTCTTTATTTTGTTCAGCTTTAGAAGCAAAGGGGCTTCCCAGCACTGGCTCCCAAATACAGGCAATCAGCAACATATGCTAGGAATGCAAGTAGAACTGCATGATTTTGAAGGAGACAAGTTGGATACACACATGAGGTTACGTAGCATAAAACCCCATAGGACCCATGCAGGTCAGAATGTTGTTGACAGTAATATGTGTTTGCATCAGCATAGACTGGAGAGAGAGGGGTGAGAAATGGAGTGTGTCCAATAGTCTTCAGAGCTATTAGGCACCCAGACTTGGTCCTATGGGGATGTGTGTTTCTCTTGCTCATGGCAATTATTCAGATGTATGTATGTCATTATCATTAAGATCAGCCAAGAGGCTTCTGCTAACTAATGATGCCCAGCTTTGGGTCTCTGAGGAGCTATAGGCATATGGAGATTGATTTCCTCTGCCAAAACTTTATTTAGAAAGTCACTTGTCTAGGTGGTGATGTGTGAACTGCTCAATTAATAGAATTATTCTCTATCACAAAGCATTTTCACATTATAAAAAGAAAGCAGTCGTACAAAACGATTAGGTGAACAGCCTTCTAGAGTCACAGTAGAATTTTCCACAGAGCTACAGCA